GGAAGAAGAGGATGCTCCGTGAATCTGGGAGTCTCCACAGCCTGGTGGTGATGCCTTGTGGGTGCTTGAGTGCGGATGTAGCGAGCCCTACCAATGAATCAATCTCTGTGAAACAGAAAGTGAACTAAGTGAACCTCAATTCTGTCAACGGGCGGACCATCTGGAAACCTGGTTGGATGCTTTACTTGAAAAGACCTCATCTTCTGGTCGTCGCCTGCATGATCAGTTCCCGTACTTTTTGACCCAACTTCTTACAACCCAAAAATGGTTGTGTGGCTGGGCTCGGGGTATGTCTCAGTTGCATCTCCACCAATTCACGGGGCCTGTGTCAACTCCGACCCAGCGATAGCCTCATGCCGATCGCCGGGTGACAGTGGGGACACTCTGTTCTAGAAAAATGTGCGCTCTTGCGACAAAAATACACTTGCCAAATGGGAGCTGGACCTGAGTGGGGCTTGCTGTGTGCCCTTGCGACCAGCTCATGCCTTGAAATTCTCAGCTGCTAAGCGGTCCAGCGGGCGCACGGAGCGAGCAAAAACTTTAAAAAAAAACTGGCAGGGTCCGCCTTATGCATTCCAATTTGGCTAGTCGAAAAGGTTAAGCCATACCCCAAGGAGAAAGGCATGAATCCAATGGAAGGAGCTTCAAGGAACACACCCTAGGTGCACTCATCCTTGAGCTCCATGATCATTTCATACACATCCCGCTTCCCATCCACCCTGGTGGCAAAGTCTTCAGGGTCTTGCTCCACATTCTGGAGACATAGGGAAAGCGACCTGCGCAAGGTAGGTGGCGGACGAACCTTGTGATCTTGATGGGGGAGCTGCGATCGTATTCATGTATCCATGATCATTCGATCATCCATGATCATTCGATCTGATCACAACTTCGAACAATCTCCCTCTGACGCTTCGATGGTCATCCACCTCTGTTGGTCGGAACCTTTTGTCGAACCTCTTGTCCCGTTGCTGGAACAGGCAGAAAGAACAGAAACAAAAGAGTATAGAAACACCACTGAGACTCTAGTCAGAGTCTGGGACATGGTTCCACACCTGTGGACCCATCCAGCTTTCTCATCTGTTCCTGTTCCTTTGACCATCCACAGTTTTTGCCCTGAATAGATGGCTTTCTGCGAAAGGATAGCATGTGGAATAGCCACTGACCGTTTTTTTTGGGAACGTTGGGTCCTATTGGAAGTACCCAAGGTGAAATAGACAAAGATGGAAATCCACTTCACCAAGTGGAATAGCCAAAGGAGTACTATCTAACCGGTTCTTGCTAGCAGCCCTCCTATCGTTTCCAAACCCCTGCCCTGTCCCCGCGCGCGATTTTTCAAGCAGTCAGTACATCGACCGTCCATCCGCACGACATGCCCTGGCTTTTGTGGTTCACTCCACCAGCAGTGCATCCCAAATTGGCCCCTAAACTGGTTGAACTCTGAAAAATGCATCGCCGACTTTGAGGATGGACATAGCAAGGAGAGGCTATCTCTCCATCTCAAGAAGCTGAGCTCAAAATGAGGGGATCCCTATCTGGTCAGTGAATTCCTCTCCCGGTTTCAGGCAGTATTCACCTGATAGAACCTGAAAATGGACCTTTTGAAAGACAAATTCCTCTACAACTCAGTGGTTTTGGGGTTCCATGTGTATCCACCTAATTGAGGATCTTGCACTTGGCTGCGGCTCCACAAAAAGTAATATCCGTCCACAAGTGTTTGGTTTCCTTTGCCTGCAAGTCAATATGGCTTCACTGGATTTCACTGGTGGTTTTGCAACCGCTTCCGAGTGGTCCCTTCACGCGTCTTGTTCCTACAGAGGAGACCACATGATCCCTTCACTTGGCCTCGCTGCAGTCCACATGATCCCCTCCATTCGACTATGACTATAAAATCTGGACACCCAAAAGGTACCAAAAATGGAGTCCGCAGATCGGACCAGCCAAAACCACGCCTCACATGCCTCTGGTGCGTGTGGCGATCGGGAGGATGGAGGCGACCATCGGCCGGAAGTCGTCCCGGCTCCATGGAGGAACGGGGATCCATCAAAGGCTCTTCATCACCTGAGCGATTCATTTTTGAACAAACCAGCAACAAAGGAACACTTATGTCAAAAAATTGAAGACCTTCAATGGCCTTCAATGCCGCAAAACACCACGCGCAGGAGTAGGTGTCTGGACTCATGTCAAAGTTTCCCAGTGTGGCGGGGCAGGTTTCTTACCAGATACCGTGTTCGTGCAAAGAACACCCTTGTTACATCTCCTTTCAAGGGAGACTCCCTTCAAAGAAGACCTTCATAAGCATCAACAGTGCACTGCAAGGAGCATTGCTCTTCTTGAACAATCAAGCCCAGTTTGAACTGGTTCTTCCTGCAAAGATCTTTCTGAGCATTCGCCTGCACCTCAGTTTATGCTATGGATGCGCTAGGGTACAACTGGCATGACCAGAATCTTTTGCAACCCTTCGGATCCACAGCAGCAAATACAAGAACACTGAGAGGAGATATGTTTTGACAGCACAATGAAATGATTGTGCATGTGTCGTAATTCCGCAAGAGAGCAAACGTCCCCGATTTGGAAGCAAACTGGCCATGAGTTCATCTTACTGATCGAACATCGTTTGATATCCTGGCAAAACTGCGCCACACCGCCACACTCACATGCAACAAGTACTTCATATGTTTGTTGGAGTACGGTGGGTGTCCAACATGGGGTCTCGAATCTGGTTGACGTCGCTTGGAGGCTGGGCAAGCTGGTAGCACCACATGTCTCGCGGCGTCAGGTCGTATGTGCCCGTCAGCGAGTCTTCCATCGAAGGCGAGGGTTGGAGCTGTTTCAGCAGCACCAGCGAGACCGAGACCGAGACCGAGGCCGTTAGCGCGCCCAGCGACCACACCATCTGCTTTTGGAAAGCCTTCGTCTTGGGGAGGGGCAATGAAGTCCCAGTCCTGGACGTTTGTTTTCGAAGCTGTAGACGTTTGAGTGCAGTTGAGGCGGTGTCTTTTCAGCGTTTGGCGGTTTCTTCGGTTTCAACATCTGGCAGCACCCTGCCGCTGCACTGAGCCAGTTCGCACCGATACCCAGTGGCGAACGCAGCGTGCGCCACCGACCACGCAGCTCCAAAGCGCTCCAAAGCGTGACACCAACACCGGCAGTTCGTCTTTTCCCTGCACCAGCAAGACCCACCAGAAACATCCGAATTCACCACACATCCAAGTTTTGCTGGAGCCCTCACGAATCAGAAGTTGGGGCACCAAATGTCTCTGAAACAAGGCTTACAGATAGGAAGATTTGGGAATGACATGGGGAAATGCCGTGAATCGTCGGTCGGTCCCTTTCACCGTGGAAACGACCCAGTGGACTAGACCGCAGTGGACCAGACCTCCGGGATGTGATGGCGTCTGGAATCAGAGGGAGACCTGTCTGGGTGTGTTAAAGCCTAGCGATGGCCCCCAACCTAAGAGCGATGGCCTCCAACCTGGTGACGGGTCACTAGCCATGGCCAACTGAAGAGCGACCTGGGAGACCTCCCAGGCGTGACGTCACCCGAACCCGCTGGAATGTTCGGTTCGGTTCCGAGGGTGACCAGTCGACGGAACCGAATGGCTGGGCGAGAGCTGGGGTGTCCACCGGACTCAATCAACACACACACGGTTCCTACCAGACTTTCACTTTTCTGGCGTTTTTCTGAATGCTCAAACGGCTTCGTCCTTTGTAAAGGGCGAGCGAGTTGTTTTGTACACATCTGTTTTTGGGTAAGCAATGTCTACAAGTCTACCAGGACTCTGCACAAGATCTCTCACAAGGATCTTGCGCGAAGATCACTGTAGGCGATGTCTGGATGAGATCTGTGCAACATGTGTACATGCCTTAGTTGAAGTTAGATTCCAATACCATATCAGCCTGGTGCAGAAGTGTCAAGTTCTTCCATCCAAGTGTTGTGTGGAATCGGCGGAATCCGGTGCTTGGCCGCAGGATCGAACACCTAGATCACGGGCTCGGAACCAGGAGCATCTCGGGCTCGGGTTTCAGCGACGTCATCTCAAAAAGATTGACAACATCAATCAGCACCTCATCCGTGGGTAGTGGGTGAAAAACTGTTCACCTTCCATCCATGAGTGATTCTCGGTCTGTGGCACGACACTGTGCAAAGACTACTCAAACAAGCTGCTTGCAGCGGAAACCCGATTACAGGATCCTCCCCAATCACTGGGGTACAACCAGTGTGACTTCGCCAAGGCTGCAACGTCGTTCTTGGACGTCAAACGATCCGCTTTTTTTTCTGAGCCAAGAAACGAACGAAGAGCCTTTAGCAGCGGGATTGGGGCGCTCTCTACGAACTCTTTTGGTGTTTCCAGCAAGACTCTTTCACACTGGAGTCACCTGCACTGGGGCCATCGACCAAATGGTGGGTAGGTTTTTTGCAAGCGGAAAAAAACACGAGTGGAAAACTGGCGTTTGTACGCGCGAAGGACCCGAAATGGCGAGGGAATGACGAGAGAACGCCCCAAGCTCTCCTTTCTCAACCTTCGTCCTTCGAAGTTCGGTCCTTGTGCAGCACGTGCTGGTCCAACCTGCTGAAAGGACACCCGAGCTGCGCCGCGCCGTCTGCCCGGGCGCTGCTCGCGCTCGCGCCACAACCCATGGATCCGAAGGTCACCAAACGATGGAGTGCCAAGAATGATGCTAAGCGATGTTCAAGTTCTCAAGCTAACTAACCCATGTTGGGGACGGAATTCCATGACATGTTCCTGCAACGAACTTCCTTGAGCCTCAAAAACTGCCGCGGACGAAAGAAGATTCACATGATGGGGTCGAGAGGATCTTAAAACAACCGTAGGATCTCGTAAGGAGCTCCACATCTTTCAATGCAAAGGGGCGGAACCCGAGCCACTCAGGGGGTGCAGTTGTTGCTTGAAGAATTAGAAAAAAATGCTATAAAATTGGAAATTTGATAAAACTGTCTCATGTCCAATTGCTTTTTTCCGCTGCCTGGGCCACCGAACACTGCTCTTGCACCACCGCTGCCAAGGGCAACTGGTCGCATAGCTCGCCAAAGGCGTCCAGCAAGTCATCCGCCTGCCGTTGAGACGTCTGCAAACGCCCCACACCGGCCACGCCTGAAGAAACCACCGGCCACGTGATGTCCGCGTGGGAATCATGGATGGCACCATCGCCCGGCTCATGCTGGTCCAAAAGAAAGCATCATGTTTGGTCGACACGAAGGCAAGAGGTTTGGTGGTCAACACCTGCCGGTGTACTTGGTCTGGAGGGGGTACGGCTTGGTGGTATGGAGCTGTTGGCGCTCCTGGGTGCCTGATATCTCCGAAGTGATGGTCAAAGGGCCAATGAATCTCCAAGAAAACCTATTGAGTGGTGCATGTCCATCCAAAATCTGCCCCAGTAGATGTTAACTCGATCTCTCAAACCCCCAAAAGCACCCCCCCCCCCAAGGTACCCTATGGTACCCACATGAGGCCACCAGCTGCCCACCCGCGAGAACCCGCTGAGCCGGCGCCTCCGAGCGGTCGTACTTGGCCTCGATCTCTCCACTGAAGCCCGTGGCTCCATACCTGCTTCGATGCGCCCAAGCCGACGTTGAGCAACCACTGGGTGACCTGGTGTGGAGACGTGGAGCAACACTCAACTAGATAGAGCAACCCCAAAAACACGAGGATTCTTCTGAAGGAGAGGACGAAGCAAAACACGAGTTGTGGGTATACCTCGTGTTCACCGGTGGTCATGCTCTCGCGATGTTGGTCATCCTTGCAGTAGATTCAGTAGATGTTCCAATAAAAAAAAAAAAAAGTAGGAGACCAGGAAGTCGAGCTTCAAAAAGCTTCGAGACGGCCCAGGAACATGTACACAGCTTGGGTGTATCCCTGTTCTTCGTGAGGGAAAGAGAAGTTTCGGTGCGGCATCAGAGCAAATCCACCGAACAAGAACGGCACGCACCAACCGAGCTGTTTGCCCAAAATCACCCACCAAAACCAACATCTTACAACCAAAACTCCACCTTCCCAAACAGCCACGCTCCACTGCCCTCGTTTGGCCATGGGTCATTCTGAACCAAACGCCTATTTGGACCAACCCACGTCCGTTGGGACCAACCCCCTCATCCACGACCGAACCGACGAGTTGTTGCGCTGCGGCCAGGATGCTGCGGCCAGTAGTCGCGGTCTTCATGATTGCCTTCGTGCCCGAAGGAGGAGGAGCTCGGAGCCCGGCGCTCCGAGGAGTAGGACGCGGAGGGTCTTGGAACCGCGAGCTTCGACGACATGGATCGAGCCGTAGAAAAATCCAGCGCTTTCACGTTTTGCGGTGGTTTTGAACGCCAAGGCGGGGCGACCCAAGAAGTTAGCGTTCTCTCCTTGGGTTTTCGATTTGGACAAGTTGGAGGTCAGGCTGGTCAACTGGCCTTCCACTGTGCCTTCCCAAAGCAACTGATCATGCTGAGAATATGCTGATATGCTGCATTCACATCGTAAAGGTGAATGGAATGGGTTGTGAATTTTGGGCTGCACCTTCGATCGAAGCTGGCGGCCATTCAGGTGCTCCATTTGGTGAACCGCAGAAATGACACGCCCGACAAGCCCAGATCAAAAGGGGTGAGAGTGAGCTATGCAAAACCTTCGTCTTCGTTTCAAATGTTCATCGCTCTTCAGGCCTCTTTTTGATTCCTGATTCGCTATGAAGCCCGTCCCTGCCCACATGTTCATGAAAAAAATATTCCAAGAAAGTCGTTGGCCCTTTCTGTTACAGACGGACCGTCTCGGTGGCCTCTGGTCACATAGATGCACTCGGGCGCGGCAATCTTGTAAGCAAGAACCTGGACATGCGAACATCACCATCACCATCGGAGCACAGCACGTGCGAGGAGGACGTCGTTCAGATGGTCCAACAAGTAACAAGACCACGAAAAAACCCGTGGTTTCAGAGGCCTCCCAAGTTCGGTGGTGCTATGGACCCCCATCTTGTCAGGACATGTAGGAACCACTGTAGTAGTCCTAGAAATCCTGCACCATTTGAGGCAGACCATTTGGTTCTAAACACGGTGGATCCAGCTGGTCGAATTCTTCCGTCAGTGGTTAGAACAATATATTATATAGTATATGGTTGTTGTGGGCTGTTCATTGCAGTCTGTATCGCGTTTTCTCACGTGTACTGTACCGCCTTGGAAGGTCCTAGAAACATGTCAACTCCAGAAAGGCCAGCATTTGTTTGACACACCCTGTTTGTAGAGCAGCCAAAGAATAGAAATCCAGAAGTGAACAAGCAAAACGATCCATCAAAAAATCCAACGAGCATCTGTACCAGAGCAAGCTTGCCTCATTGCAGGCAATCCTCGGGGTCCCATTTGGCGCTGGTCCTTTGAGGGGAAGTAGCCGGCAAGTGGATATTCAATTCCTCCTTTCCGCCCAAGGTGTCTTGACCGCCTGACCGCTTCTCCTTTCCTCCGCCTAAAGTGCAAAAGTTGTTCTATTGGCTCAACGATTGATAAATTTGTGTGTGTGTGTGTCACTATACATGTATATATTAGTATAGTATACCAATATATACATCAAATATGTATATCATGCACAGCTCGCGAACTTGCTTGGCCGCCAATGTCAAGCGCTTCGTCAACGACTCGCCCCCCTCAGCACCCCGGCCGAGGCCCAAATCTGCAGGGCGCGCTGCCCCCCGCGGCGCTCCGAGTCGCCGCGGTCCTCGGTTTCGTCGGGCAGTCGCGGAGGACGCGGAGGACGGCGGCGGTGTCTCCGGTGTGTGGATGCTGGAGGTCACTAGTTTCGAGAAAGGCCTCCAACTGAACAATCATCCACTGAGGCCCTGGTAATCGAACGTGAGACGGTGGGTACGACGAGACAAAGTTCCGCTTCCTCCAAGAAAAGTGATGTTCCACACGGGTTCTCGGGTAGGTCCTTTGGAACATTGACCAAGCTTTGGTCCCCAATGAGAAGTGACTCGACTGGCAGGGCACTTGACTGGAAGCCAGGTTGATCCAATCAACATCTGACAGGTTCTGACTGAGGAGTGGGACAAGATCTGACGGAGTCTATTTGTTGGAAGAAACCACAGGTACTTATACTGTATATACCCTCGCAAGTACCGTGTCGGCCAAAAAGGGATACTCCTACCACCAAGCAGGAGAGGACCTCGAGTGACTCTTTCATTGGCTTTCCCTGCTGAGATCAGGTGCTGAAAAGGGCTCCCCTAGTCAAACAGTCTGTGTGTGTGTGTCATGTAAACCCATTGACTTGCGAACATCTGCTTTCGGATGTGTTCCGACCCAGGCACAGCGGCACACCCTGAGTCGACAAGGCACACAAATATCACCGTTGAAGAGGTAGACCAAGTCTTTGCTTGGTAGCCCTTCTGTCTTCCAAATGTGCACAACATCTTTCAAGTGACCTCAGCGACTGTGGTGACTGTGGTGACTGTGGTGACCAAGTACTCACGACCGCTTTCGTCAAATCCGACAGAGGACGATGCAAGACGACAGGTACTTGCCAATCATTACACCTCATCAAGGGTCTCTTGGGCCGCGCTTGGGCTACAGAACCCTGGTAGCTGGTCCCGTCCGCCCGGCCGCGGTTGGTTTCAAGGGCCGAGGCTCCATGGGTATCTCCCAGGATGACGAGGCGACCGGCAGGGACGCTCAAGCGCAGGAGCATCGGCTCCCATCGCACCAGCTCCTGGGGAGGCCGTGTTGGACTGTCGCAGAATGGATGTGGATCATAATGGTCTTTTCGTATTCAATCATATTCTCACGGTATGCACACAACATGCGGATCTCCAACCGAATTGATCTTCGTCAAGTCCACAGAACCGTCGCTGCCCCGGGTGTGGAAAGCTCAGTCAAGCTACCCATGCCGGTAGAGCCTTGAAAAAGCGGATTCGTACGGATTCGTCAGATTCACAGTTGACCAAACCTGGAGTCGAGTGGCCTTTTACTTGCTCCTGATCAAGTGGCCCTAGAACATTATCCAGCATCTTCACCTGAGAAATCAGGTCAACTAGGAATCGATTAAGCTCCTTAGTTAGACTCTTGAAAAAGAGAAGCATTCGAGTGGCTTCATCCCTCTGGCCAAAAAGGGTACAGAAAAACATGTTCCCACATGTTCGCACTAGATCCTTCCTGTGGCTTTGCAGGTCTGTTGCAGCTTTGAGACTTATAACTTTCAGGTATGAAACGAGCTGTGGAGCTTGGAGAAGGCTCCCTGTTTCGGCAAGAACTGGATACCCCCTGTAGCTCCCAAGCCGGAAAGCTCCCTCCGAACCGCAGCAGCTGTCGAAAAGGTCGGAAACTGTGCAGTCTAAAGCTTTTCCAACTGTGGGGAGTCTTCTCGCCGCTGAAACATCTGGATCACCTCGAAAATATGGCTGGTCTGGTCCTGTGCAAGTCCCTGACTAAGCTTGCTTTGGTGTCAAATGCACTTCTTGCTCGGGGCTCCTTGCCCGCACGCACCAGGGCCAACAACAAGCTGCAGGGCAAGGGATTTTCGCCATTCGAGCAGGACCTCACTCACTAATGAAAAACCGAAGTTCGCTTACAGGGTCTCACAAAACATATTTTTTGATGTGTATAATTCCTAAACCTGAACGCAGCCAGGGTGCTGAAATACGCTGTGTGCATCTTCCCACGTCATAGTGCCTGCAAAGCAGTCTTGGCAGCATTGCAAGTCAAACAAGTGAGAACAGACCTTGCCAGCAACTGTATATATCGAGGACAACATGTGTGGTTGATCTACGCCGGCGTCTCAAAAAGCGGGGACAACCCACGCGTCTTCATCACATTGTTCCTGTCAGCAGGCCACAAAGATGCTGACCGCACAGTTTCAGCAAACATGCAGAATGCACAGTTTCAAGACATTCAGATTCGCATGGATCCTACCGAGTGTAGAGGCCGGCCGCTGCGCCGCTCGTGTCGCAACATGTCGCAACATGTCGCACATCTTCACCGCGGAGTCTCTTCAGTTGGGACGTCTCTACACCTGGTCGACCCCGGCACCATCGCCCGGTTCGAGTCACGTTCGACGGGGTGCCGAACTTGGAGGAAGGAGTTGGGTACCCCTGTCATATCCACTCACTGGATGGGATTAAAAACCACTCCTTTGTGACTGGTACTTGAAGTGAGAACCCTGCCTCTCGGTATCGAAAAAAAGAAGAACTGCAGAATCTTCGGCGTTTGAGTGACCCTCCACCCACCCATGCCCATGCCTGCTGTGATGTGGCTTAGCAAGGTGCTCCAAGGTGTGGGCACTGGCCTATCCGAGCGTCGTGCCGCACCACCCAGGACCCGGCTCAGATGGATTGATGGGGTTCGAAGTACGGTTTGATGCGGTAAGATTTCGGAACCTTCCCTATAGAACTCCGAAACACCAAGAACATCCAAAAACCAGATGGGCTAAGGACCTTCTTACCTATAAAAACACGAGACGGTGTTGAGAAAAATGACTCAATGACCAAAGCATCAATGTTGTGCTGTTCTTTTTTAAATAGAGAGGAGGTTCTCATCTTCTCCACCCTCTCTCTGTCTAAAAGCGCAGATCGGATGCTTCATTCGGTCCGTTCTCCGGAAAAACGACCGAGACGGCGAGACCATCGGCTGAAACAGCCAGGGGCGTTGCTCGTCGGACCACCGAAGCCAAACCCTTCGTGGCATCCGCGCGTGTTATCCGGGCCGCTTCGCGGGCATCGAAAGCCCGAGACGACTGGAGCATCTGCTGGATTTGCTGAACGGATCAGAAGGCAGTCCGAAGCTGTGCCAAGCTTCTCTGCCCCCGGCGCGAAGTCTGGACCCGAATCCTGACTGGAGGGCGTCTGGGTGCCTCCACCCCTCCAAACGTCCGGAACGAAGGTGAGGGTCGGGACCCGCTCGAACCCGTTGACCCAAATTGAAGCTCTTGCTCTGTGTGTACCACAGCAAATGGAATGACAAAGGCAAAACGGGTTGTTCCAAAAGGGTGTGAAGAGTAAACACAGGTACCCCAGTACCTCACAGTACCTTCCTGGAACCCCAAACAACTAGAAACAAATGGTTGTTCCAATATGGCAATTGAAATCCTTTACATAGGAAATGGTTGTTTGGGAAAACATCCATTTCTTTCTGGTTGTTTGGGGTTCCAGGTTACCCTCTTTACTCAACTTGACTCTTTACATGATCGAAAACGCCCGGATGCCCCTCCCCACGGGGTTCACGCCTCGGCACGGCCTGCTTTGAACCTCTCGTCGCGTGGCTCACGAAGAAAACACTCCCAGCAGGAAGCTCCCAAGCGCTCTCTTCGGGCATCACAGCAGAAATGGATCAAAGATGTTAAAAGATTCCTGTAAGAGTCTGTAAGAGTGATTCAATTTAAGCTGAGATAAGAAAAGGAAAGAAGGTCAGAGCGATCCACAATAGACACACCACTTCAAAACCAAAAGCCACCGCGCCCCCCGTATGTGCGCGCCACCTCCGCCCTCCCACCTCCACCAAAAAAAAAGAAACCTCCTTATCTGGGGACGGGTCGCGAGACGTCACCTGGTTGTCCAGGTCCACCGTGGATAGGTCGTGCCCGGTCGGGAGACCGCCACGCCACAGCCGTGCCCGGTCGTGTCCAACGGTCGGTCCGAAGCCCCCGCCGGAGTCGGACGGTGCGACCCCCGGGAGTCGCATGCGGCCGGTTTCGGATCGGAAGATTTTCCAGGTGTTCAAAGCACCGGAATTCCAGTGATCCAAAGCACCGGCCGACAGCACGCAGCAGCCTCATGTGGAAGTGGAAAGCCACTTGTTTTGCAGATGAAAAAGCCTCGTCTTCCTGTCAGCACCACGGTCCACCCATCCACCGATCTGGTGTGAAAAAGACACGCCGACAGCTCGCTCCGAAGCTCCCAGCACATCCTCGCGCGACCCCGCGCGGCCGCGGAACGCGGCCTGGACGTTCGGTGCCGCGCAGCGCTTCGAAGGCCTTCCGCTGCTTCGAGGAGAAGCGGAGCGCATCGCTCTCGCTCTTGGCCTGACTCACAGGCGCCGGTGCTGTGGGGAGGTCGGTGGGCAGAGGTGCCGGGTGAAGACGAAGGAGGAAAGTACACCAAGGCAGATCACGCAAGACACCAGGCGAAGTCATCCAGGCGAAGGGAAATAGAATCTTCGTAGTTTCACAGCCCCGTTTTCATCTTTTGTCCACAGCGGACGCCTTTCAATCAGAAGCATCATCAAAAACCCGCCAAGCGCAGAAAAAGTAATAAAAGATAATAAAAGAACTCAAACATCTTCTAAAACACCGGGAAAAAAAAAACAAACCCCACTGCTGTCTTTCCCCACTGCTCGTGTCGTCTGACTTCGAACCTCGAGGCCCTGAAGTAGACGGCGAAGCACTGCTTTGTCTTGGGGCAACAAGACCTGACACGTGCGCGTCACGCCCAACGAAGACCAGCCCGGGGCCCACATGGCCAATGTCCGTTGGAAGAAGGAAGACCTCACTGGGTGCAAGGCACAAGAAGACCCACCCAATTATAGGACACAAGCAACAATCTTTGAGGTCTTCGCCCTAAAAGTCTAATGGGTAAAAAGGACTGGCAGGTTTGAAGGCCACACAAATACTGGCAGGTCAATCTGGTCCGTCATCCTGTCAAGATTGACTGTGTCAATTGACGCAACAACATGAGGCAAGCCAATTCTTGGCCTTCTTCAATCCGCTGCTGCAGGAAGGCACACACCAACTACCTGCGACAGCGATGCTCGGAGACTTATTGACTTATTCCGTATTCCTGGAAACGACATGAGATTGGACTGAGCGGTTGGGCAACCCCATGTCCATTCAAGTCCACGTCCATCTCCTATAAACCCGACACATGGGGAAATGTGGATCACCTTCAAATGAGTTCACCCCTTGCTTGCACCTGCCAGCAGTGTAGCTGTTCCAAAACCCATCTATTCTTACAGGAGAATCAAACATCATCAAGTGTCCTTCCTAAAGCAGCAAAATTCATTCTCCCACAGCTCTGCCATCAACTTAAGAACTCAGATCTGCCTTGTGGCCGACATGTTCCACTCCATCAGTTCCAACTGCTCACTGCTCTGCGCAGCGTGGACGGTTTTTCGGGAATCGGAGGTGGATCGAAGGAAAGGAGGTGGATCGAAAGGAATTCTTCCCCATCAGTTCCTTCTTCCCATTCTTCCCCATCCTTCCCCATCGTTCCCCTCGCAGGCGACCTACCTCCTCCCACGGGGTCGACCGTCCGCGAGAGAGGGTGCGCCGCCCGAGGTTTCGGCGCCTTCTTCGGACTGCAAGCCTGCAAGATGGGGTCAGTGAACAAAGGAGAAGGGAAGGCCTTCTGAGTCGGCAGACCAGTATAGATAGTATAGTGTGGAATCGAAGTGAACTCCAATTGGAGATTTGCGAATTCCACTGCCCATTTGGGCTGCAAAAACAGGATTTCTCCCTTTTTGAACTTGGGATCTTCCTGCTGTGCGTCCTACTGACCAAGCCTTGGAGTGGACACGCACCAAGAAGACCCCTCCTTTTTTGCAGGTCCCAAGCCTCCCAAAACCTGGATGCTAGACACCCAACCGTTCCCTGAACATCGGGCACCGCGCCGATGTGGCAGCGCCCAAGATCGGACGTCACGGAAGACACCGTACACAGGCGCGCGGGGCCTGCGAGGAAATGGGACCTCGAGGCCGACCTGGTGACGGGAAGCCTGGACCTGTTCTTTTTGGGATCGGACCCGAATCCTGACTGGTTCGAAACCAATCCCGATCGGTTTTGGGTTCGGGACCCGCTTCCGGGGCTGTGAACGCGTCTGGGTGGGAGAAGGAACAGGTCGAAACAATCGACCGTCGCACTGCTTCGGACCTCTCATCCCCCCAAATCATGCTCCTGATTCTTATACTATAGTTGCCATTGGTATCGATGGGCACGACTTGCTCCCCGAACTTGTTTCCTTCTCTAGTAGGGGGTGGAAGTTCTCGCTCCGAACGGCGCGGAGACGGCGCGCCGCGGCATCGGACGCCCATCGCGACGGGGCCTCGGGGAGGCGTAAAGACCACGCGGGACCCGACCTGCGGAGGCTTGGACGACCTGCCCGCCCCTTTTTGGGGCCAAAAGAGAAAAACAAAGGCAAAACCGCCCAATTCTCCAAGACTGAGGAATCAAAAGTGTTCTATGTAGTAATATGTAGTACATGATTCTACTTAATATCCTGTCATGTTTGGTATCCACTCAGGTCAAAATACACCTCTTCAATCAATTCCATGGTACGATGCATGTCACAGTACTTCATCTATTTCTGCAGTGTCCCGTGTCCCTATCGATGTTCTTGCTCGAACCTCAAGCCCCATGTCTCCCTGTGCCCGATTTGGAGAAGCTGCCATGCGTTGGGAAGAGGTGCGTTTGAGAGTAGTGCACTGAGTCAACAACTCCTGCTTGCATTAGCCCAAAAAGCTTGTGGAGGGGATGGAACACCAAGCCACTTGGACTGGCAGTAGCCCTTGCCGCCACACACGCAACAAACCTTGGTGCCATTGAGACACCTCGTACGGACACTCCTCCGCTGGCTCCTTGCACGTCGAACACGCTCGCAGGTTGCAGGCTGCACCGAGACGGACACCGGCCCCACTCGTGGGGCTCTCTTTTGACCAGCGATGCCATGTGGAGCCGTATCCTCTGCCAAACAAGCGGGTGAGGTCCTCGTTGAGGCTTGCAACCAAAAAATACCATGTGATTTGTTGCTGCTTTAGGGATCTCAACAATGAGGCATCCAGTCAACACATGGGAGGCCTGGACCACGAGCTATACACCTCATGGCCCACCTTGGGTATCCAAAAAAGTGCCCTTTTTATCCTTGGGCTGTGGCTGCGCTGTCTGGTGCAGGGAAAGTCCCGCCAGACAACTAGCAGGATCCACATCCCATACAACTTACAACATCCGTTCGAACTCTGACTGCGATTGTCTGGAACTCCAGCATCAATCTATGGAACGAAATACAGTAATTGCCTCGTGCAGATCTTGCCAACTATGAAGCCAGGAATTCCCTCCTCCAGTTGCACAAAAGTGGCGAGCCTAAAGGGCTCAAGACTTGTGCTGGCAAAGATGAAACTTTGGATCAGGTGCCCACCAAACACCGCCTTCAAACACACCGACAGTCACACAGTGTGTGTGCCCCCCCCGCTTGGAAGCCCGTCCGTCCTGCAACCGCAAGCGTTTGTTGGCCACCATGGCATCCAATAAGTATCATGACAGGCTGGTCATGATGCACAGCTGGTCGTGTGAACCAAAGGCGACTCTGACCCTTAAGGGGCTGGTGAACCAAAGGGGCTGGTCAATGAAGCATCCGCAGTGACCTTTTCGTAACCGAGAATGAATCATGAGTGTTCGTCACCGGACATGCTGCGTCTGACCAACTCGTGCGGAAAATTTCGCCCGACAGGTGACATCGTCGTACGAGGCAGGCGCTCCTCCGGTGCTCGCTCCTCCGCGATCGGCGCTGTTTCTGCAAGAGGACCGTTGGGTCAAACTGCGGAAGACTGAGCTGACACCCACTGAGGACATGGTGATACCATGGTGATGAGCATTTTGAATCGAATCCCAGGCGATTCTTTGGAAAAATGTAGTAAAATAGAGAAGCTGAAGCCAATTTCACGTGTCTCGATATTTCACGTGTCCTTGGGCACAACGACACGTGAGGGAACCGGACGAAGACTGCGTTTGAAAGGCCATCCAAAGGCTGCAGCCCGCCCAGCCCGGGTTGTGATACAACATATTATGATATTATGTATATGTGTGTGTGTATCATGTGAAGCCCCGAAACTCGACCTGTTCAGGTCGTCGTGGCTTTCTTACACTTCCGAGTCAAAGTGCTTCCCAAAGTTCAGAGAGCAACAAAATCCTTGGAACCCCTTTTTTCAGCATGGCGCCCAGTCAGAGTATTGAGTATCCAACAAACAAGTTGGAAAGCTGGATCCTGTTTTTTGCGCTACCACTACCGGTTCAAACTACCCTAGCTGAAAACGCCAGGACAGCTCTGGCCAGGGCAGCGGCAGCGGCTCTTTTCCTCTCTCCCCTTTTGGACGAGCGACCGTTCGCGCAGAGCGAACAGCTTCGCGGGCTATGGCGAGAGCCATCCAATCAGCCGCCATAAGCCTGCAAAAAAAGGACAGTCACTGGTTCGAAAGGCATCGGCACTTCAAGAGGCTCAGGCCGGGCTCTGCTTGCAGTCTCCAAGTCCAGTGATGGAAACATCCCCAATCATTAGCTACACCGTAAAGCCAAGGCTACAAATCTTGGGGTTGATCAAGTCATGAGAGAAGTCGTTGGGTTACAAGCCTTTTTGTTGTTGGATGAACTGGGATGAAGAATAGGGTGTCCTCCCTGTGTCGGAATGAACCTGTACAGTGGCTATTAATCACTTCGAACAAACAAATATCCCAAAACGCAGATTCTGCATCAAGAACATCAACATGATAGACTAAAAGGATTGCTTTTAAGTGCTGCTCATAGAACATTCTGCCGTGTAAACAGAAAAGCTTGAAAGCCTCAAAAACTCGGCAAATCGAGGATTCGGTGCCCGAGCAGGCGGATCCAAAAAAGAACGAGGTTGCACTCTTCGGATCCATTGTGGAGTGCTAGTGACAGTGTGAGCAATCAGCGGACAAGCCCTGTGCAAACACCAAACATGTCCTGCCCTCTTGCCCGGTGTCTTTTTCCGATTTCTGAAGACGGTGCAAACGGGGATAGTCTTTCTTCCAAGTGCAGGGTCAGTATGTTCTAGGTGAAGTGAAAAACACTTGAATAATAAAGTGATTGTCCCTCACTAGACATGGGAGCTCCCCAATTGTTCCACCGACCCCATCAGCAACAGTTCTAGTTGACCAAAAAGTGCATAGAGAAAGAACACATTGTCACTGCCCTGTCTTTGGTTGCTGGTAAGCCTGGCCTTAGCACTGGGTGCCGGCAACTTTCTCCAGTCCCTGGGACGAACTCTTGCGGACGAGGGTTTTCTTCGCCCACGTCGACTAGGCATGCAGAGCAGTCTTCTCAAGCGCAGCTCGCCGGGATTCTTGTAGGTTCCGAAGCGCGTGTTTTCGTGTTTTCCGCTTTCATGTTGCTCATCTCTAGAACAAGCAGGTCTGGCTTAATGATGTTGATCCAAGAGAACTTCTTCTTGGGATGAGTATCATGGATGCTTTGGTGTGATCTACCAGGCCAAAATCATATGTGAGCTGACAGACCCAAAGCCATGAAGCAGCTCGTGCCGAATAGATTCGTTGGACCACCTAGGCAAAACGTGTCCATTGTTCAACCCGGCGAGTGGTCGCTTGAACAGGGACACTCCCTCAAGTGGCCCCCAAGACTCTTTACTCTTTACAGGGCCTCTTGATCAATGATGTCGTTGGTTGGTTGGTTGGCTGGTCGGTCGGTCTACGATAGCTGGCATGGATACCTCTCTTCTTTCTGGAAGGATCGATCAACTGGTTTAGCCCCGATCCACCTCAGCCCCCCCCAGTTCCCTACTGAGCTCTCATCCCCTCCCTTCAACCCACC